TAGTTAGTCCATCTGAGGAGCTCAAAGCGTGTGGATGTGTCTTCCTCGTAAATAATTTCAAATAAAGAAAAGTTTCAACTCAACCGGATTGATTTTTATTGAAAATCACCCATTTCCAATATATTCCAGAATCAGATTTACCTAATCTTCAATCAGGCGAATCTGCGGAGAAAGAACGTATGAAAATACTTCTCTGTGTGCTCCTCACGGAGAGAAATGTTAAGCAAAAATTACGGAACTCACGATTCACTCACCGATTACGAAATCGTCTCAGAAAATTTAAGTGACGGTATCGTAATTTTTCACAGGAGATTTAGATAAAAATTACGGAACGCTCCGGAAAAATTTCCTACAACCACATTTCGCTCCGAAATTACGGAAAAGATACGTAATTTTTATTGAATATTTATCTCCGTGCTCTTGATTATTGCCCGATCCCACGTAAATTCGGACGGCGCGTCGTCAGCACACGCCATCTCTTATAGACGCAACGTACAATATTTCAATGCGAGGAAGTCCCCGAAATATTATTCTGGAATTGAGGACGGAATAATATTCCCGGATTACGGAATATTACTCCGGAATCCAGAATATAATATACTGGATTCAGGAATACACATATGCTTGATTTCCGAATATTATGCGTTCAGTCCTGCATTCTATTTCTCATATTACAAATTACTATGTTCCCACAGTGAAAAATAATTTCACATTTTTCTCGTGCATCCCGAAATTAATGTAGTCACGATGCAATTTGGGTAATTGAGATCGTTCGCAAATTTATCACCCGAACACTTGAAAAATTTCCCCCCAGGAATAAATAAAAACTTAATACGTGAATTAATATAAAAAAGGGAACCCCCGAGGGGGGAGGAGGGGGGAGCGCTTGATGGATTGTCGTCGTGGCATTGGCGGATCGTCGATCGGCAATTTACGGCCCACCGCGGCGTTAAACGACGCGCGCCGTAGGAGAGCGCCGCAAGAGTCGTGCCGTAGCGGCCCAATTACTTCGAATTGAGTTATAACCGGATCAAATTGCCGATAATTGGCGATTGCATAGCTTAATCGTTGTTTCCACTGGCTTTTTTTTTCAGTTACACGGGGGATTCGATGGGTTGCACGTGCCAACAGTGTACTTCCTTGATTTTTTATTTTTCGTGCAAGGTATTTGAAAAATTAGGGACACAATTATTGATGGATGGGAATTTTCGGAATATTGAGATGGAATTTTTGCGATGGGAAATGAAGGATTTCACATTAAACGCTTTTTTTTATTCACTGGGAGAGACGAATTGACTAGTGATTTTCGCATATTTTTTATTTAAAAAAATGTTGATTGCTCTCGTTGTGGCTAGATTCGCGGAAAAATTGGTATCTTCTTTGAGAAAAGAATGATTAAACATTTTTTTATCGCGTTTTTTTTTTCATTTGAATAATAAAAATATTTTTTATCGTAAGTAATGATTGTTTATTGGAGCAAGTGGGAAATTGTTTTCGTCGTAACATAGGCAATATATATTTTTCAAATATGTTTTTTTGATAAATATAACACAATGAGAGCAAACCTTGGTACCACTATACTCAGAGAAAAACAAACACGTTATCAAACAAGTCTTGTTTGGGCCAACAAAATCGCTAGTTGAAAATTGCCAAAAAATAATTCAGTAGCGAAGCGGTAAACCGGGTCAAGTCGATTTTTACTATTGGCCAGTTTTTGACGAATATCTCGGAATCTAAAAGAGACAGAAAATTTTTTGTCATGATCTTTTTATAGCTCTTAATTGGTTCTACAAAAAAGGTTATGAGAAAAATTTTGCTATCTCTCTTAAGTTCTGAGATATTCATCAAAAACTGATCAAAAGTCAAAATCGACTTAACCCGGTTTACCGCTTCACTACTGAATTTGTTTGGCTCGAATTTGAAAGTCTCAAACATGAAAAATTGCTCTGCTTTCGACAGCAACGAAATATTTGGCTCAAGAGGCGGATAATTCACAACAGACGGTGCCTTTTCAGGATGAAAATATCTCATATAGAGGAAAATTTATTAACAAATATTTTATCCCTGAGTTACAAGATGGCTATCATATCGTTATTATTGTTTCATTTAAGGGTTAATTTCTTGTTTGTGATTATTAGACAGTCGAAACGAAAAACAAAGATTATAAAACAAAGATTTCTCGGGAGCAAAATACATATGGGAGTATCGAATAACGAAGGAATAGTCCTAGAAATGACATTTCTTGCGTGTACAGAGAATGCAATTTTATTTGAACCACTAAATCTATTTTTGCGACAAAAATTTTTCATTCTGGCGCACTTTCTGCATGTTTGGCACGAAAAATCCTTTTTTGATCATTTTCAAAAAACGATTTTCTTGGCACAAGTAAGTCTTGTTTGGGAACTTGTCGTCTTTCTCTCAGTGCATCATCCTAAACTACTTGGAAATAGTTTATTATCTTCTGGAATTTTGGGAATCATGTTATTCTTGAAAAAATCAATTTTTTAATTATTTTTCCGGTTGTCCAGTCAATGGTAATTAACACAAAATGACGTGCGGCGGTGATTTCCTCATATGGTGATGAATCTAGGGTTGAGGGGGTCGAAGACATTGAAAAGTACTAAATACTGTTTTCATTCAGTTGTCATGTTACAAGATTAGTAGAATTTTCAAGATGTTGAAATAGATAATCTGCAAGACTTTCCAATTTTGTAATTTATGTTTGCCACTGAAGGATTTATTTTAGGACATAAATAAAAAGCTACACCCAGAGAAATGGTTTATTTCAATAAATTATTTTTGTTCCTGTAATAAAGATTTTATTTAAACTTCAACTGAGTTTTCCTTTGCATTTTCATTAACAGCGAATCAATATTATTTTCAATTATGAAGAAATGTTGCTTTGATTGAACTGAAGACTTGATTAACAATTGATTTTATTTTACGAACGAAAAATTTCATGGAGAAACCCAGTCAATTTTTATTTCTGTTGAACTTTTTATTAATTATTATTCTACTGAAAAATGCCGCAGTTCATCTACGCGTTTTTTTGTCAATAGAGTTTTCAGTAGAAATGGAATTAAATGTTCTACCATATTCAGACTGTTTAATCACTTTAACGAAAAAAACCACGAGTTTATAATTTGCAACCCAAAAAATTGTTGAACCAAATAAAAAATAATTCTATGCGATTGAAAAACCCAACGAAAGAGGAATCTCGCTCTATCAGCGATCACCTCCATTTGTTTGTTCACCCAAATGATGCATTCCGCTAAAAATAACACATAACAATCCAAGAATGTACCCACCAAGGTCAAACATCACGATCTCACGACAGGTATCCTTAGCTCGATGATTTTGCAATCCCCTTCCTGGTGCTATTGATTAATGGTCCGCAGTTTCCCCGGAGAGCATCACCTCGTTGGTATTCCACGTAAATAAAAATTTACTAGAAAATCCAAACACTCTTATAAAACAATTTTTGGAATTTCTTCAATAAATATTGTGAACAATATTTCATTCAATTTCACACTTGACTCTCGTTGGTCTAACCTCGAATAATGAGGCGGGAACACTACTCATGTGTTCCATAGGGGTGTTGATGCCCTTTCCTTTCTTCAATTAATTGTTTATAATCATTCTCATCGCAAAAAGCAATACGACCGCTGAGAATCACACGTTCCAATTTATCAGCTGTTGAATTTTCACATTACAATAAATCATTTGCTCATGTTCTAATTCCTATGCTCAATGAATACGACTTTAATCATAATCGCAATTCAATTCCTTCTAGAGCACACTTTATTGTGTGAATTTCTGAAATTTAATGTTTGTTGATACTCTGGTAAAAATGCGTGCCGACACTGTTATCAATTTTCAGTTAGTTCACACGGTAATTCAATTAATCTGTTGTTCATCTCATCAATATAATTCCAATATTGAGTCACAGCTTCTTTTTATTCATATCAGAAATTTTGTATTTGGATATTAATATTATTTATTCAAAGTGAAAAAATCTATCATCATCTTCACTATATTGCATTCAGATTCTCCTATCCTTAACGTCAAAAATGTGAGATAATCTCATAATTCTAGCTATTAATTCTAATCAACTTTGTTCGAAGAAAACCTTAGTAAACGCAATATTAAAGGAGAATTATTCTATTTTCCTCTGACCCAAATGATTTGGACAATTATGATTCGTTTATTCATGTTTCATAGAATGGTATTCAATTCTCTTTTGTTTGTTAGGCGGGCTCCATGAAAATTCGACGCAAGACGATTGTACTCATGAAAACCGCCTTACTTTCTCCATTCGTTCGAGATATCCGCCATGTTCGAGTTCTCATTTTCTAATCAAGTTCTTGCCCATGCTCTTTTACGACTTGTTTGAGAACTTGTTCATTTGCGATGAGTAAAATTTCAATGACTTAAATTTCATTTTTTCAAAAATCGTTTTCTCCAAAAAACGTTCGGATACTGCGGTTGACATTGGGTCTAAAAACTACTCTTGCTCTACTCAATAAACTCTCAAGAGAATTTTCCCAGAAAAAATTGCGCGAACTACTTGGATATCCTTAAAATATTTTCATAGACCTGCCTCCCGCCTCAACCTCATCATAACCTAAACCGCGGAAAAAAAGCCCCGAGCCCCCTCTGTCGGAAAAAGGTCCAAGGTCGCCGGTGCCCGACGGAATATCACCCACGGTAGTTTTCTCCCTGTGTACACACTTTTCTCATGCAGCAGAAACTCCTCCAGCGTGATTTATACGCCAGCTAAGTGATTCCCCCGTGTGTAGAAAACACCAGTCCCCCCTTCATGCATGAAGGATTTAGGATTAACGCACAGTCGTAAATATATCTTCTTAAAAAATCTAAAGATCAGAGAGAACAACTTGCGCGTATGCTTCCAATACATGTTACGCCTTTGCGCTTCTGCAATTCATGGCAATACACCGAACACGGGTTGGGTAATAAATGAACACAGGTGGACTTGTACATCGAGGAAAAAAAGTGTATTTTAACTTTTTTTATTTCGTCGCTTACTGGCCTCATCATCACCTCTTACATACTATTATGTACAAGAATATAAAAATTTCCCATCCTCTTCAGATCATCTAATTTCCGGGATTCCCCTATTTACAGATTGATAACTCTTGTTTATACTCTAGACATATATTCGTTGATGGGTTGTTTTTTTTACGGAGATGAATTATTTAGTGCCCAATGTTACTGGCTGGGGTTTCCTTAAACCTAAGTCTTGATTTTCTAATGTGTACAGATCAGCGAAGATCCGGTAAAACGATCCAAGACTGTCCAAACTTCCAATCAGAAGTCCTCACCAATCGTTCTACTTGATCGTCACCGAAATTTTATTTATATAAATATATATTAAGGCACTTTAACATCTGGCCTTTCTTAATATTTCATAAATCGGGCATACGTCGTCATATCTTGTGAAACAACTATAGACCTAAAGTACAATCAATAAAGATAAAAAGAGGGAAAGGGGGAAATATAATAATAAAACATACAAAATAAAACTCTTTCATCTAACTACTCAATAATAAATTAATTGTCTTCGCGATTTGAATAATAGATTATGTACAAATTGAACACAATTTTCGTAAGCTTGAACCCCGGGTCCAGCCTCACTCTTCAGCCATCTCACAAAACTGTTAATAGATGTATAAAAATATCTCTATATTCACAGCGAAAGTGGTAGTTCAGCTGGCCTCTTGACACCACACGTGAGATCAAGAGGTTTGCTTTTGGCTGTTGTCTCTTCAGTGACATTGCCCCTGCTCTCAGGTCTGGTTTCGGTATTCTGAACTGGACTCCCGCTGGGTCTCGGTGAACTCCTCGTAGATCTGATGCTGAGGTCGATGGGTTCGTCCTGTTCGACAGCTAGGCCACCAGGACTTGGGCTGACGAGAAGGAGATCACCACCGCGAGGTGAGTGCTGCGACGCCGCTGGTGTGACGAGACCAGGCGGTGGATACACCAGCCCAAGGCCATGATGAGGATGATAACCAGTCGTCAGGGTGACAGTGGCATTGATCTTCCTCGGTGGAAACTCGCGTTCTGACAGCGTCGGTGATGCTACTTTGAAGAAACTCAGTGCTGAATTGCTCCGCGACTCGTCGTGATCATTGCCGTCAGCTGACGATGCACCAGAGTCACTGGGTGTGTCCGCTGTTCTTCCATTGTACACCGGAAGGAACGGCCGAAAGACCTCTGGTGGACTTGACGGTAGAGTAATCATTTTCTCGGGTGCAAAGTTCACGGGAAACATGGGTGAGGTCGTTGGGTGCTTGTAGCTGAATGGCGGTGGTGTGCTGTCTCTCGGTGGGGTGCCAGGTTGATGTTGTTGCTGGTGACCGGATCGCTCGCGCTCTCGCTCCTTCTGCCAAGCCAGTAACCTCAGTTGATTTTGCAATGCTACATCGTCTGGATGTGGTGACTTATTGCCTCGTTCACGCTCCTGTTTCAGCATTGCTACGTGCAGCAGGTGGGATTGAAGGGCTAGGTCTTCTTGGCTGGGCGATGCACGATCCTTGTCTTTGAAGACACTTGGCGATGAGTGAGAGGGGGGAAGAAAACCGGGGAGAAAACCGGCGCCGAAGCCGGAGGGGCTGCCACCCTGATTGCCGTTGGTCTGCTCTTGGAGCAGACAGTGGATTTTGAACCAGTTCGATCGTCTGCCGTAGCGCGAGCCCGACTTGGACATGCCCACCATCAGGCATTTGCGTAATCTGCAGGCCTTGCAGGCCGTTCGATTCTTCTTGTTGATGACGCAGACCCCTCCGTTCTTGCATTCTGATATGCTGCCGAGGTTGTTGTAGGTCCTACCGAAGAAAGACTGTAACAGAAAGGAGATTGTGGTTAATTCCCATGGTGGAATGAGAATAAATAATGATTAGATAGTATTGAGGTCTGACGATGACCAGAAACAAATGCTGTTTCAGGGTCGAGTCCCATAGTTATCATCGCGGATTAAACGTCGGATTCTTAATACCACGCGTGTCATGGGAATTAGCATCTAGGTCCATTTGCAAATGTACCCACGAGATAGAGAATAACAGCTTGAAAGAGGTCCAGAGAAATGAGAGAGAGGAGGGGTGAGCCAGCATATACCGGCGTGGTCGATCGTAAAGTTAAACGCTTGTCGGCCGACGATAAAACTGCCTCGATGTGGAGAGAAACCCCCACGGGGGATAGGCAAATTCGAAGAAGCTGCTTGCACTCGGTTCATCGAGATCTAATTTACGAGCCACTCTGCTTCAGTCCAATTTTTCGACAATCACTCATAAATTTCATGAATTCCTTCCTCCTCTCGCTGACAAGCCAACATTCAGAGAAATAATTTTCGTCCCGGTCATGACAGATTAAGAATCAACATCTGGTATCAAGCGATGATTCAGATGATGCAGGTACATCAGCGTGGGCGCGGGCAGCCCAACTGCTGTGAGCTAACGGTTTTTTCATGTACCATAAGAAAAATTGTTGAGGTCAAATGAAGCAGTCGCGAGTATTGCGGGTGGACATTCAGGTTAGCTCTTCTTGTCATTCTCAAGCATTATGAGGTACACGAGGAAATTATTCTCACGGCAGCATTTCACCTGGTGTGACGTGAAAATGACGAGTCATTGCAGTGACTGTATATCCTAACCACACATACGAGTAATCATGAGATGTTGTGTGTGGACTTCTCTGGCTGAGCGACAACGATGCTGACACATTATGTATAATATCTGCCAGTTTGTCGCCCCGAGGGAGACGAAGAAGAAATGAGCGAGATGAAAATGAATCGCACTTGGGGAGATCTTACATTTGGCACGGTTAACTTGGATGAGGGGGGGTATAACCCAGAGTGGCTTTGTAATCTTACAGTAGCAATCTCACAGATCGTTGGGGTAGACGCGGCAAGCGGGAATGGCCACATGGACTGTGGAATCTTACAGCTGATGATCCGCATATACCGCCTGTCATTGCTACTGTGTGAAAGAGGCTATCGTGCCGTTTTTCCGTCCAGTGGTTTGATGTAAATTGCCGAGGTCAGATGTAATTTTAATTAATTGGGGGTGGGGGGAGCTCCAAGCGCAATCATATTAACTCGAGAGAAATTAGTTCTACCCGTGGACATTGCGCAATTTCGACACTCGCATAAGGATTTTACGAGTTGTTTCTCTATGTCTGTTGCTTAATTCCGTTGATCGTAGACTGGGAATACATATCTGAAACACTGTCGGTTGGACTAAAATACCATTTTGGGTGGACGCGTGCGACAAATCTGTCTCACGCCGACAGAAAAATCGAGGGGCTATCGTCTATCAGCTGGCACGCCCGGAATCCCGGTGCTATTTGCTCAGAGCCTTATACATAGTACGTGGATTGGAAAAACATTGACCTGTGATCAATGAGAACTTTCATTATTCAACAAGTACGTGTAGAATTTTCCGATATGGCACGGCTGCCAGCTAATTTAGTGATGTGGAACTATAGCAGGCTCACATTTTCTAGATTTACTGATAGGTAAATATTAAAGTTTATGTTAATCTTGAAGTGTATCGACGTAAATTAGGTCAGAACCTGGTTGCTATAAATGAATTTACCGTCTTTGAGCCATCACATTTAGTTACATGGATGCTTATCCCGGGGCCGAGTCGCCGATGCTGTTGAAGCAGCCAAGCCTCAGCCTAGAATTGCCATGCTAAGTGTCGGCGGAATGTCAAATGGCCATTCGTCGAATCCCAAGTCTCGACCAATAATTGAGTAAACTTCGGACGTTGAGTTGATAAGGGTCAAACATGAAAGACAAGTCAACCGGGCCCAAGGGTCAAACCCTCATTAGACTCACTGTCTAGCGAGAAAACCGAGTGCAATAATCCAACGGATCAAACACTCATAAGGGTCAAGAGGGTCGTAAGGGTCAAATAGGGATAATAGCAAAACTACTTTCAAGGGTTGAAGGCTTATAAAAAGTCGAATGATCATAGGGGTCGAGGGTTTCATGTAGGAAAACGCGTAAACAGATGCTAAGGGTCAAACGATCATAAGGTCCATTTAAGGTTCAAACTGGAGACCTTCAGGGTTAAACGCGTATAACGGGGACAATAATTGGAAGGATGAAGAATTCTCGATTTCTACAAATCATCTGGGAGAAAAAAGATCTCCATTTTTCATATTGATAAACACAAATTCACTCACTTCCATTCTTGGGAATGTTGTAATCTCATTATTTATTGATTATTAATAAACAGGCTGTTTACCATATCTGTATTGCGTTTCATAATTAAAGAAAATTAGAGAATCAAATAAGAATACAATATTCCATTCATATAGCCGATAAACTTCCTCGTGACTAACAACTCTTCGGTGGCCGAGTGGGTAAAGTCAAGGACTAGAAACCCGAAGGTTCCAGGATCGAATCCCGACGAGTCCAACTTTTTACTCATCGTTATCAGCAGGTATCGGTTTCTTTAGGAAGGATCAGCCAAAGAATATAAATTCAATAATAAAAAAATAATGTATTAATGAATTTTTTCAGCTATTAAAAATAATTATTGGGTGGGTCACGGGTGCCCATCATCGCCCGACGCTTGGCCACCAATATCGGCCCAACGTTATCAAAACAATAGTTAGCCGAGGCTGAGCGAAGGCCGATTGAGAATGGGCACCCAAGACTTGGCAGTTCGGATCAATTCTCTTGTTGATTTCAATTCTTACTGTCGTTAAATACCGAAAAAATTCAGTTTCCTCGGAAAATTCGCGTAAGTCACAATAGAAAATCGCAGATATCAATTTTTTTCCACTGCTGAAACATTTCATCTCAAAGCCATCCGCTGAAGCCCTGATGATGATACCTCCCTCACCCAAGACCTGAGGATGACTCAGAGGCGTTAAAAACCCATTGCATTAAGTATATTACCCCCTCTATTCGCAAGCGAAGAAGACCTGAAAGATCAAGTTTTCCAGTTATGAAGCACACGTTCCCCCGGAGAGAGAAGTAGTTTTATATACCATCACCTGTGCCGTGAGACTATCCCACCCACCTAGGTCCATTTCACCTTTCCTTCGTCGCCCCCCCCCCTCTCACCTCTTAGCCGCTGTTATATACCCGCCGACCCATGAATCGCCAACACTGAATATGTATCCGTGTGTGCGTTGAACCGTCTACTCGTGTATCAACAATCTATATTAAGGACGTGGGAATGTGAAATGGCCTGTCCAGGCGCACTGTACCCACTGCTTGAACTGTTGGCGCGCGAGCGCGCGAGCACACAAGCCCGGAGAGATGCTTCTAAGAGTCGTGTATTTTTTTTTTTTAATATTATTTTCCATTTCTTATCGTGGCTCTGGCTCACTCGCACTGGTTGGTGTGTGGTGGTCATGTCTGCCTGTCTGAGGCCGGGTGAGAGGGTCTCGTGTCGCGCGTCGCCGGGCTGACCTCGCTTGGGTTTCCTACGTACATGACCCGCCATCATAGGACGAGTGCCGTGGAGGTACAGCGTGCGGTTCCCATAGCCACCTGTTCGCGATGTGCGAGGGGACGATGACCACTTCCGGATCCATCGGGGGGTGGCTCGGGGGTTTTGACGGTGAGGGGCGGAGGGATTGCGTCTGGATTCAATTCAATATGAGAATCTTGAAATTTTTATGAACAAATTTTTCATTTTTCACTCAATAAAATGTGTCTCACCATTACATTTATTATTTTCATCGAATGAAGTGGCAAATGCTGAAGCGCTCTCTCGCTGTTGAAAAAATGCGGAATGAGTGGATATTATTCAGTTGTTGAAAATAAACCTCTCGGAGATTATAATTCACAGAAGAATCCTTCCACGAAAGAGATACAGAAACCTCATCGAACGCTTAAGGAAAACGAGAGTGATACATTTCACATTCCTAACACGCACGCAGAGAGTTCAGGCCTCAAGGTCCGATCCGCGAGAGAGCCCGTGCGTTCCATTTAACCGTTGGGTATTTGCCAAAAAAAGAGAGAAGAAAGGAAGAAATATGGAAAGGAAGGTGGAGATACAGTCCATTTTGTGAGAAAAAAAAACATTTCCCTGAATCTCTCCCGGGTTTTATTGGTGTCCGGTCCAGTGAGACGAGTCATCCCAGGTGGAATGCCCATCAAGGAAGGAAACTCTTCGGATTATCTGGAAATGAGATCAAGAGATCTGAGATGAATCATGTGAGACTGTAAACTGCTGACTCTAGTCATTCTGATCCGAGAGATAAACTTTGAGAAATCATGACAATTGCGCGGATAAAGAAACTGTTGATCAATTGATTCAATAATGAAATAACACGGAAAATAATATATTGAATTGAGTATATTTTATACTCGAATGGGGGATGGGTTCAATTCGAGGATGATTATTTCATATCAGCCCCGGTTGTACCAAGCGCTCTCAAGTGTAATGTAAGGGTCAGACACTGAGTGCGAGAATATAAGGGCCAAAAAGTGGAGGTTAAAAAATGAGGGTCGGAATATTAGAGTCAAAAACAGAGGGCCTGAATGCAAAGGTGAAGGAATGAGGGTCAGAATGTCAGGGTTAAAAAAAGAGGGTCAGAATATAAAAGTAAAAAAAGTCGGTGTCAGGCAATGAGGGTCATATAAGGGCTAAAAACGGTGATCAAGCATAATATATGACTTATATTTAGACCCTCATTGCCTGACACCCACTTTTTTTACTTTCATATTCTGACCCTAATTTTTTTATCCTAATGTTCTGACCCTTTCGGCCACCGTCGCCGGTTCCATCTCCACTATATTTCAAAGTTGTTAGAATACCCGACCAATGAAAGTTAAACCAACATGAATTTGCCAAATAAGAATCTAACGCACGTCTT